CAGAAGGGACACTGTGCCGGGTGCATCGGCAGGGTTTGGTTTGGAGACGTTAAAGGTGACTGAGATTCTGAGCACCGGTGAGTCAGAGAATGGAGGTGCTGCGGAAGTAGGAGGTTTGAGGGAAAGAGACCAAGTCTGCTTCTGAGCTCGTTTAGTCTCTTCGGAACACAGTTAAGGAAACCGTATAAAAAACAAGTCAAGTGCTGATGCTCCCTGCTCAAAATGCTTCGGTGCCATCTCTTCTCATAGAGTAGGGAGAGCAGCCTTTACAGTGGCCAATAAAGCCTTACATGTCCTGGATTCCCTTTCACTCTGACCTTACCTCCTAACCCTGCTCCCATCTTCTCAGTGGGCAGGGACCACACAGGCCCAGCAAGCACCTGCCTTAGGACTTTCATTTTTCTCTGCTTGAAACCATCTTTTCTCTGTCAGTTTTCATACCTCCCTCCTGATTTCCTTGTTCAAATCCCACCTTGTTAGAAAGGCCTTTCCTGGTGCTCTTTATAGAAAACAGCAACAGCTCCTCCCCTCTGCCGTTTTCCCTTCCCATCTTCCTGTTCTATGTGTGTACTGGTTTATTATCACAGCCTGGAAACTGAAGCCGTGAAAAGAATTAATAATGAAATAACCCAGTGCTTTCAAGAGTGCAGTGAGCTTTGTTACTCTTATACTCTAGTCTAAGGACTGAGCATGATAAGCAATTTGGAAAGCAATTTGACAGTAAGTATGAAGAGGCATAAAATGTTCATGTCCTGGAACAGTCTATGTTTTTGAAATTCTCAAAATTAGTTCTTGAAAAATAATCTAAAATAGGGAAAAGAAAATATACAAGGAAATGTATACTAATGTGGTATTTATAATATCAAGAAATTGGAATGATTCTAAGCATCTAACAATGTAAGAAGATAGTTAAATTAAGCAAATTACTGTTCATTTACTTAATTATATATTATTCACTTGTTAGAGGATAGTTATGAAAAGCTGGGTAGCAACAGGAAAATGCTCATGAGACAATGTTATGTTTAAAAGAATAGGACCCACAGCTGTATACACGGTGATTTCAGTTATCTTTAGATGTACATACAAAAAAAGACAGGGAAGAAGTTAACCCAAATGCTGATATTAAATGAACTAGGCTAATAGGATTATAGATGGCTTATTTTTCCTAAGTCTTTTAGATTTTCTGCATTTAGGTCATATTTTTTCTTTAATGTGGTTACTTGATTTTTAAAGAAACTGCTGCTACAACTCAACTCAACTCGCCTTCTATATCCAACTGCTGGGTATGAACAGTAAGCGTGAGCTTCTAGGCTGATGGAACCTTCCTGTAGCACCAAAAGTCACTGACGTAGGTGGCTGGCCCTACAGCCCCTAAGCCCCTAGTCTCAGTCCCCACTCATTCTTGACTGTTTCCTGTTCTGTGCTTCCACGTATGATGTTTTTATTTTGAAAAAAGTTCTTGCTAAGTCAAGGAGTTGCCACCACTGGGCTTGAATATTCAATCTTCCTGCTTTAGCCTCCCAAAGTGCTGGGATTACAGGTGTGCACCACACCTGACTCCAAATTGAAATTTAAATCCTCAGCTTTCTGACATCAAATCCTATGCCCTTAGAGGCTACATTCATGAGCATGCCAGTTCTTACAATGACCTAAATTAGTTTATCATACAGACATTGAAATGTGAAATAACTGAATGATTCAATCTAAAACTTGTAAATCACTTGATGTCACGTGTCTTTATGTCTGAATTAACCAGCTCATTACTTCAGATTTTCTTGGTGGATATTCAAAGTATCTCAAGAACTATAAGAGACCCTACCATTAACAAGTGGAGATATTTTAACATTTTGGTTATCTGAAATACTCTAAGCATTTAGCTGTTTTATTAGAATTAATTCTCTCTGCTCTGGTTAATGGTCTTTTTTGAAAGGTTTAGAAGCTTTCCTTTGGACAAACAGTGACTTGTTTTGATAAAACAAAATCCTTCATTACTTAGTATTAACCTAGATCTTTCAAAATGGCTATTAGTACTAAAAAATAAAGGCTATTAGTAGGAGACATGTTCAGCATCAAAGGAATACACATGCAGTCATGACTAATACTATTTCAGAAGAAACTTCTAACAAAAAAGGAGATTTTCCATGTAGCTAGCCATTTATTTTAAGTAACAGAAAGTTTAATAAAGATTCTACAGCTGGGGATTTAGCTCAGTGGCATAAGCACCTGCCTTGCAAGCAGGCAGTCGTGAGTTTGATCCCTGGTACCGATAAAAAGGAAAAAGACAAAAAAAAAAAAAAAGATTCTAGACAAATCCATTCTAATGGGTACGAAGGAACTGAATAGAATTTCCCAGGACATATCACTCATAACGCTCCCATTCTAATAACTGAGCAGTATTCTTCTGTCTTCTGCAGCTGGAATTCCAGGAAGGAAACTCTTTCAACTCCTGAGACCAAGCCCACCCACCAACCCTCACTACAGCTAACATTTTTGAGAACTTAGTGTGAGTGAGGCATTGCTGCGCACTGTACTTGGTTATTTCACGAATAGATTAACTTGTTCAAGGGGCAGCATTAAATAAAACACAAGATATGTTATGTTGGCTGTTTACCTTCTCTGTCACACAGAAAGAATAAGACTTTTTAAAGGAGTGTCAAGTTCAGCTCTACAGCCATTAACTTGAAAAGGAAAAATGAGTCTTTTTGAAATGCTGTGGTTGTTAGGCCGGTGATTAATTCCATTGGAAAATTGGTTCAGTCAGAGTTTAGAAGGCTAAAAGGTCTGAGAAAGTAGGTTTCCCTTGGGTAGTTGGGACTTCTCACAACGCTTTCTTTCTCCCTTTCCTTGGTTGTAAGCTATTTCGTCTTAGGTCTGTTGTGACTTGGAGCTGTCCTTGGTCTGAGAGGTCAGAGGAGAGAAATTGTTCCTGGCATCTCTGACTTCTCACAAAGTTCTCAGCTGACTTGGCTGAATCCTCCACCCCACCACAGAGAACATATTGGGAGAGTTCTTAGGAGAGGCCATGAAAAATATCCACAGTTCTTCATCCTAAAATATTTTAATTTTTCCCTGCATGTGAAAGCATATTCCTGCCTTAGATCAAGTAACAGGGAACCTGGACTTCACTTTTTCAGTAACACTGTATGGAAGACCTTTTTTGTGTGTAATGCAGTTCTAAACTCTACAAAAGGTCAAGACAACATTTCTGCCCTTGAAAAGTCTTCATTCTTGTGATTAGGTACTCCTACATAAAAAGTACAAAACAAGCCAGCATCATAAAAGAGATGAATCAGAAGCTATTAGATGCTATGGAGACTAAGTGTTTGGAATCCGTAGCAGGATGATGGGGGAAGAGGTTACCAGTTGCAGAGGCAGAGAAGGTTGTTTCTGGGAGAGGGGAAATTTTATACAGATCTTGAGAGAAGAGAGCACAGAGTGTATAGTGTGAACCCACTCACTAAAAACAAAACAAAACTATATGCATATGTATTAGTGTAAAGAAAAACAGCAGGATTGGGAGGATGAGTGTCTTAGAGCATTTTCTATTGCTGTACACAACACCACAGACTGGGTAACTCAGAAGAAAAGGTGTTTATTCAGCTCATAGTCTAGAGGCTGGGAAGTCTAAGACATTGACACCAGAACCTGCTCGCCTTTGGGTGAGGGTCTCAGGCTAATTCATGACGCGGTAGAAAAGCAAGAAAGTGGGATCCTGAAGAGAGAAGAAGAAAGCAATTCACTTTTGAAACAATCTACTTTGGAGATGAACTCAGTTCCACCAGAATGAGCTCACTCTCTTGAGAACTAAGTGGCTCCTGAGAGAAGAGCATTAACTTCATCCGGGTGCAGAGTCCTCATGACCTACACGCTCCCTATTAGGCCCCCTGCCAATACTGTACATTGAGAACTGAGGTTCCAACACAATAACTTTTAGGGGACCCATTCACACTACAGCAAGGGAGAGGGTGGCTAGCGGCTGATGAGGGAGAAGAAGGAAGGAATAGAATTCATAGAGAATTTCTTTCCTTGCTGTACATATATTTTTTGTGTTGTTACACTCTTTTCCCAAAAAGAATTGTTATAGTTTTGTATAACTAAGAGATACGAAGTTTACAAAGAATGAGTAGAACTAGGATTTGTAGAGCCAAGGAGGCAGATGTTTCTGGTGAGAAAACATGTGGCAGGGGATGGGGTATATTTAGGTATCAGCGAATGATGGGGCCAGGAGAGAAGGAACATAGTAGTCTGGTAGAGTGGGGCCAGGTAGAGAACAGTTACAAATTCAGTTTTTAGTATATGTGCTACTGAAGTGAGCACCAGCTAGGAATTCAAGACCTCAGAGCGTGAGTCTTTCATCTCTGAGCAGAGGCAATGATGAACTTGTGAAGACTTGGCTCAGAGGTGATTAATCTGCTTTCTCAAGAATTAATCTATTGGGGCTAGGGATTTAGCTCAGCAGCATAAGCGCCTGCCGTGCAAGCAGGCAGTCGTGAGTTTGATCCCCAGTACCGATAAAAAAGAAAAAGACAAAAAAAAAAAAAAAAAAAAAAGAATTAATCTATTAGCCGGCATAGTTGAACTCTCAGCAAAGTGAGATAATATGAATTCACATCTACCTTTCTTGCATACTGCGAAAGTCCATGGAAATGTCTCCTAGAGTAACTGGAGAAAGAAAGGCTCTGACTTACACAAACCCATTGTTGGACTTTTCAGGAAACTGAAAGATAGAGATGCTGTCACGTGCAAGGAAGGAGTAGCCTCTTGCACGTAATGCATTGTATGAATTCTGCTACAAATTTTATGAAATATTTGACATGTATGATGATGTTTCAAATGTATGAGGAGTGTTCTATTCTCAGAGTATGAGAAAAGACTGGGTTAAATTTGTAAAAGTTGAATTAAAATAACTTGATTTTAAATGAAAATCAGATGTATTTTTTAACATATTATTTGTTTTAGTTAATTTAGTTAGTCCCTTCAATGAATTAGCAAAATGAATGTTTTTGAACAAATGTTTATAATTATAGCACTATTCAAACACCATCCATATATAATATTTTACACATATACTATATTTACACAGTATTATATATACACAATATTTTATACATACATACAATACATCTATACAATATTTACACATACATACATGCAATATTTTATACACACATTCATACTGTAGACACCATGTAACAAAATCTATACTTAACCCAGGGCTGCAGAAGTAACTGACCTACATGCCAGTCTTACAGAAAGCGGCTCCAACATGGGGAAAAATTCCATGGCATGTTGAACCTTGAGTCATGCATTGTGACTCATTTTCAGGGACTGAATTCTGCAGGAGATGAACTTTTTTATTGACCAACAAGTGGAAGAAGGAGCATCAGACTCCCAGAATGATGATGTGAGTTAGATTTATAACAATGTCGTCTTCATCCCCTGAAATTTCTTGCTGCCAGATGTGCTATTTGAGGAAGAAACTGACAACTGATGTTAGTTGCCATTTATTTTCCTCCTTCTCCAGACTTTGAAGACTTTTAATCCCCAACCCCTCTTTCCAAGCTCCCCATCCCACCGTCCTGCATGGTCTGTCCTTTTTCAGAGAGGCAGATGGAACTCTAATTAATAGGCAGGAAAACAAGAAACAGATGACAAAGAAAGAGTCAAAGAGACTTTCAAACTTATGTGGAAGAGTCCTGATTTCATAGGTTGCTTTCCCCTGGCTTCTCTGTTCTCTTAATCATTTAAAATTACTTTGTGGTATCTCTTCCCATTATGAGGAAGAGGCATCTGACCTCAATACACTGGGAAAAGGCAGGGACGCAGGATGACGGTGCTTATGTGCTGAGACAGACTCATGTATATTTTTTACAAAGATCTTTTTTTGGAATAAACAATGACTTTTACATTTTTTCAAATCATTTTCATTTAGATCTCTACACTACTCTTGATAAGAATTAGTAATTCAATCCAGTAGATGTTTTACTGTTTTCTGTTAAGTTGCAGAAAAAAGCAATTTCATATAGCCTGGTAGCATTGTGCTAATCATTTGGGTTACAAAAGAAGAACAAATACAGAATCCAAGCTTCCAAAATAATTCAGATAGTCTATTCTCTGTCTCTCTTCCTACTGTTTAGTTTTTCTGTTTCTCCTTGCCCCTTTGCCATTATTCCTTGATAAATGACCAGTATTAAATTCCAAAAGGAATATATTAAAATCTACCACTGTGATTGCATTGAGACATTGAGAGAGGGAGAGAGAGAGAGAGAAAGAAAGAAATAGACAGACAGGCAGACAGAAAGACAAAGGAAAACTTCTTCCTGGGAGTGATGATCTCCTGCACATGGAACATCTGTAAATGACAACAGCTTAAACAAAACCCAGGACTTATTGAGTACAGAAATTAGTGAGAAGATCATTCTAACCAGGAAGATGGGAACTAATTTTGCAGTCACACAAAATTTTTTTAAAGTGAAGCAGGAGTAGAGACTGGTGAAAAATGGATATCCTAAAATAATGCAAAGAAAAACTAGGAACAGCTAGATGGTAGGAAATATTTTTGATGAAAAAAGAAAACAAAAGCCTCTTAGTCTATTTGCAAATCCACATTTGAGGTGGAACATGCAAAGATATGCAAAATACAAATATTATTCTGATGTTGCTGTAGATCCCCGGAAACAAAGGAACAAGTTCCCCATTCATTCCTGGGTGATCTCAGTCAGATTCTCCCTGGTTTGTGAACAAAAATGAGTTGGGGAAACTTGCTATCTTCAATTCATCTTTGACCTTCAAATTTCAGGGGTAAAAGTTCATTTTAATGTGATATTTTATTATTGTTTGCTTTAATGAAAATATATACCAAGATTGTATAATTCTTAGCATCCTATGTATTTTAGCTTATGTATAAACTAATTTATGATAATATACAACTAATAGTATTCTTAATAGATTCACATGTTTTCATATATTAAAATACTTGTTTATCAAAGTACTATTTTTATTTTTTTATTTTAAAGAGAATAAAATTATACACAACAAAACAGAACAAAGCAGAACATAAAGCAATGTAAGAGACATAAATTTCAAAGCAAGACAATCAGAGATCTTCACTATCTATCGTATTGTCTCTTGTTTTCTTCCAAATAGTTGTCCATATCTTCACATACAGAGAATTCACATGAAACAACATAGTATAGAACTGATCTGAACAGGATGAGGAAGGCATTTTAGGTCTTCAAGACCAGACAATAGGGAAGTCAACAATGGCTGTCATAGTGTCTCTCATTCTCTTCAAAATAGCCGTCCATATCTTCATGTATGTTGAAATTACACAAAACAAAACAGGCTAAAATCACTCTGAACAAAAATTATAGTATTGCTGGATTTCACAACATGATGTGAAAGAATCAGCTCTGGGTACTGTAGTGTTTCTTTTTCTTCAAAGTAGTTCATTTCATCATGTGTTATATAATCAGTTCTCATAAACTGTTTATAGGTTCTAAGCATGCATAAGTCTTCACATGTATTTCTATCCTTTCTGTATTAGAGGGAAAAACAAAGCTAGCAAAACAAAACAAATTCCCATAAAAACATAAAATGAAAAAGTCATATGAAACCACAGTACAAGATGATCTACAAGTTGTCTCTTGTTATCTTCAATAGAATTGTCTATTCATCAGGCATAGTATCATTGAATATAGCAGTACATAATAATATTAATAAAAAATTGTAGACAGTGTAAAACTTCAAAAGCAGGTAGTAATCAAACCAGAGTGGGTATCCTAGTGAATTTTGTCATCTGCAGCATAGTTGCCTGTACTCTCAGACTTGATACTATCAATCATAACAGATTTGAATAAAGTCTGTCAATACAAAACAGCAATCTAACAAACCAGATTCAACTAAGATCAGTTGTGATAAAACAGTGTAAGTTATACCGGACTTTAGATTAAGTTAATAGGAAATTAAGGCTCATTACCACACTATGTGTTGCTATTTTTGGGATAGCTATCTGTGCCCTCGGATCTAGTACAAGTAGACAAACTGGAACAGAATATAATCTATCTAAACAGAGTGGTGTGAGCAATGTGGGTTTTAAATCCTGGTACACTATTAACAATATCGTCTGCCTTCTTTTTTGAAGACTATTCCTCCCCTTTCACTCCGACGGGGTGCTGCACATTTTGAGTCCCAACAATTCCCTCAGTTTTTGGATTTGGGGGGCAAACTGCTATTTACCTAAGTGGTTCCAAAACTTCTCACTCCTGGACCTGATCTCAAGTTGCATTCCTTTACCTACAAAAGCCTCAAGGTTTTCCTTCATTATAGCTGAGTAGTTCTCTACTGCACAAAAGTATCCTGTCTTTCCAACCTATCTTCAGGTGCTGGTCTAGTTGTCCCTATTACTCTCTGGTTCCCTGTCACATAGAGCATTGTTTTCTCATATTTGATTTTCGGTCCATAAACCCTTTTTCAGGTTGAGTATATTTCCTATACAGAGTATCTTGATGGACTCTATCTCCTGATCTACTCTGCCTGTGTTTCTTTTTGTTAGCGTATCAGGGCCATCTATATTAGAGATTATAGCCAACCTTCTCTGCCTCATTTCTGCTATTGGTTGTTTACTTTTCTCCTTCATTCCACTGTCTGCCCTGTTCATTGAGGCCTCTCTGCCACTGAAGTACTATTTTTCACTTGTTTATTATTTAGTATTTATTCAGAACCGATCTCACTATGCTGTCAAGGTTGACCTCGAACTTGAGACCCTCCTCTTTCAGCCTCCCGAATAACTGGCACTACAGGCTTACACTTACACCATTATTCCTGGTTTCATTTACCTATTTCAAAATTACTTTTTTGTAATTTAAAAAATTATTTTAAAGATTTACACTAATGTTTTTCTTCTCTTTAACTGATAGCTAAATTTAGAAGTTCTATCCTATGTCACAAATGATCTTTGTTGGTATAAAACATTTATATTTGGAGGGCTTTAAAGACTTCTTGTCCTTTACGCCTTACTGACAAAGTTTTTGTCAGTTGTTTTCTACTGTCCCTCATATTAGCTTGCCAGCAATAAGCAAAAATAAAGCTGAGACTGTGTCAAAAAATGCCCTGGCCTGCATCCAGCCTTCTGTGGGGTGTACTCCAGAGTGCACCCCATTCAGTGCCTGGGCCAGCCAGCAGAAACAGCCAGTTGTTGTCTGAAATGAAGAATAAATGGAAACATGGTGCCTGTTCCTTTTCCTGCGAGTAACAATCCATCCATTTAACATTCTTTTGTTGCTCTTGAATTCTGGGGTAGACAGCTTGTGCTCACTGCACAGCTGAGGCAAGCTGAGAAATGTGAGCCTTCCTGCCACTGCTGGCCCATGGGGAGAACAGCCCAGCCCTCCACACAGAGCTGGGGACACGCAGCGCTAGCAGCTTAGGTAGGTAAATGGACATCAGGCTGTGAAATGCTAGACTGGGAGGGATCATAATTATAAACGATAAAATTTCTGGCCAGTAGGACTCTCTAGATAAAGAAACAAAACCCAGAAAAGCAAAATAACTCCCAAGGTCATTTTGCTCGCAAAGAGAATAGACATCTTTCTTCTGTATATTTTCATGGTTTATGGCCAAGTACATGATTGATTTTGTAAATGTTTCATACCATATAAAAAGATTGTGTATTCCCTTTTTATGAAGTGGAAGAATATGGGTTTATACAGTCTTTACTAACCATGCATCTCTACTCATACGTATGTGTATGTAAGATTATACTATATGACAGATGCTATATTCTTTCTTGTTTTTATGTCATATTCTATTGAATTCTGATGGAATATATTAAAATCTACCACTATAATTGTCATTTCATCAAATGCTGTCTTTTGTATTTTAAAAATTTTACATTTTGTTTTTTGCACATGATAGCTGACATTTGATACTTTTTTATGTTTGTATGTATGCCACAGGGATTGGTCTTCTGCATATAAAAAGATATTCAAAGCATAGTGGCTTCAATAAGTAGAAATACATTTGTCTCAAATCCCTTCCAAGATATTTAGAGGTAGGAAATACTAGCCTGGAATAGTGGCTCCATGGTCATCTGAGATGCAAATCCTTTCTGTCTTCTTACTTTCCCAACTTTAATATGTGACGCCCGTTCTTCAAGTCATAGTTGCAAGATGAGCTCCAGAAGCCGGGCTCCTGCATGTTCTAGAGAAGGAAGCAAAAGAGACAAGTAAGTAGGAGTAGCTTCTAGCTGAATTGGACTTCTGCAGGTTCTACTCACAAATATATATTTACAATTTATTTTCTATCCTGGTTGTAAAAGAGGATGCAAAAATCATTATATTTTCAATAAGAACACATTGCTGCCCTAAATAACACTGAGAGTATTGTTAGCAAGGTGAGGAGAAATAAGACTTTGTAGGAGTCTAGCAATCTCTGCTATATACCTTTCATCACTCATCGTCTTATTCCTAGTTCATGTTTTAGCCTTGAGTTTGATATTGATATTGCTATGCCTGCTTCTGGACTTGCCTGATATATATCTACCTAATCACTGATTTCCAGACTTTCTTTGCCACTTTCTTTTGAGTGTCTTATATATAGCTCAATGTTTGTTTGTTGTTGTTTTTTAGCCCAATCTGAAAGTTTGTCTTTTGAAAGGGAAATTTAACTCATTCAAATATATTGTTATTTTTTATAATTTATTTTATGTATACATTTATTACACTTCATTATTGTTTCCTTTGACCCTTTTCTTATGTGTACTGACTTGATCATTTTTAAGCCATCTCTCTTCTGTGAAATGAGAGTTTTCCTGTAATTGTTTTCTTCTCTTAAATAAATAAATGCCTGACATAACCATGTCCCTGTGTGTCAGAAATTCATTGTGAATATGCTGGGAAAGAAATGGAATTTATTTCTTCGGTATTGAAACATAAAGACATTGGTGCCACGTAATGATTAAAGTTTATTTTCCTCATTCTCATCAATATAACACTTTGACAACTAGATCTCTTAAGAGTTGGAAATGAGTCCTACCTTGACTGAGCTGTGATGTACAGCACTTTACAGATTCCTTTCCAGGTCTACCTATTGAAGGGAAAAGGAAAGCAATTATCCCAAAATTCCAAAATCCTGCACAGGACTGAGTTGTGGTAACTCTTCACTGAATGAAAAGCAAGTTCTCATGGATGATAAAATGAATAACAACACGGTAGAGCACTCTGTGGCTTGTATCCCAGCTGTATTTATTCTTAGAGGGTTGAAAACATTTTTTTCGTGGAAGATTTGAATTCTGCAGAGTTTCATATACTTCTGTAAAGAACTTGCATATGAACTTACATTACATTTGGTGAAATTATTAATTTTTTATTCTACATTCACATGAATATTGTACTTGTGAAAGTCTTTTTCTCTCTTGTCTGCCTCCAAATTATACCTTCCACTTCATGCCACAGCAGTACACTTGTTCCGAAGAGCGATCAAGGTTCCTAAAAGTAAGCAAATGGTTCAAGTGTTACCAGTTAGATAGGAATGTTTCTGGTTTTACCACAGGGAAAGATATAAAAGAAGAAGACAATGGTTTTTTTAAGCCACATAACTTTTACCCAACTCTATTATTTTAACTTACTTCTTAAAGATTATAGCTTTAGAAATCTTATGGGTATGACTTGACTCTAAATTGGTATACATTTTGTTAAATCTTGGAATAGTGTTTCTATACAGGAAAATTTCATATTCTGCAGAGACATTTTGTAGTTTATATGAAATAAATAAATGAATAATCTGTCATATGCAAGGAAATCTTTACCTTAAAACATTTGAGTTATGTATCTGCTCTTGCCGTATATTGTATTGTTGGGTCAAAGGGACCAAGAGCCAGTTCTGCAGTTGGAAAACCTTGCTGTCCACTGCTACAACTTTTCAGGCAAAGAGGGCAAGGCATGGTATTAAAGGAAGAGAATAATTGATAAATTAATAAATTTCAACCCACAACTTTCTCCTCTGCGTGTATATTATTTCCCTTTGCCACTGACCATGAGAAGGTCTTGGCCTCTCATCACAGGAAGTGACAGAGATTTATGAATGAGAAAGCTAAATGTTTGATGAAAATAAGAGGATTAGGGCTGGAGATGTAACTCAGTGATAGAATACTTGCCTAGTAGTGCAAGCCCCTAGATTCTGGCCCTAGAACTGCAAACCAATAGATAAATTAGAGTTAAAAATACATAAATAAGCATACTATCAGGTTTGAACATTAGACTGTATTGCTGTATTGTATAGCATAAATACAGTTTTATTGGCTACTAATACCTACTGCAACTGAGTCTTTGTAAGATTGGCTGTGTGTTGCTGAATATGAAGCTGGTTGGTGGGTTCATAAGGAGGTAGGCTGGGTTCATTTTCATATTCTACTTTTATTCATGTTGACATTTTCCTTAATTAAAATTATTAAAATAAAGTAAGTGAGATTCAGAAAAGTACTCTGGATTAGTTAACACTGAAACCAGGGATTCCTTGATAGCATACAGCTCAGAATAAAGAGCCTTTTAAATATGGTCATCAATCGAACTCAAAACTGGCCTTAGTTCATTATTTTGACCTCATGCTTCAGAACTACATACAAGTCCTACAGTTGACATGCAGTGGCTGGACTTGAAAACATAGGCTCAGATGGCATTCATGAAGAGCATGTAAAAATACTGAAATTGAAAAGTTTCAGTAGGAGAAGACAGCGGAGTTCAGTTGTCAGTTTTGTAGTTGTTTGTAATTTTACAATGTCTAGTTATTTGTGTTTTCATGGTATTTGGGCCCAGAGAACTAGAAGGAGAATCAGAGGTTTATATAAACCAATTCCTGGATATACAACTTACTTTATTGCTTGCTTACTGTTTCTGTTGTTGTCTCAAAAGACAAAGCACTCTGTGTGTTTAAAAGACTTGTTTTCTTTCTCTTCTTTACTTCTCCCTTTCTTCTTCTTCTTTTTTTTTTTAAATAGGGTCTTGCTTCATAGTTTGGTATAGCTCAGAACTCCCTAGAGTAGATTGTAGAATAGGTTGGCCTTGAACTCAAGATCTTCTTGTCTCAGCTTCCCAAGGGCTAAAATAATGGGGTGTGCCACTACATTTGACTTAATTTGATTTTTCTGATGTATCATACAGAATTCTATTAGAACAGAAAGGTTGTCTTCTTTACTAAGAACAAATAAAAATCAATACTATAAATCAATGAATCATTCTGAGTCTTTTTCTGTCTTCTGGTATCGGGGCTTGAACAATTAGAGCCTTGATACTGAACTGCATCCCTAGCCCCTTTTATTTTTCCTTTGAGACAGGGTCTCTTACATTGTGAAATTGCCTAGGCTGTGTTGAACTTGTGATCCTTCTGCTTCAGTCTCCCAGCATGCTACACCGCCATACCTAGCTTCTCAGAGTCAGTTTTTTAGGGTTTTACAGTGTTCCCCGTCTTTTCAGTAGTGCAGCCCTACACTCGGACAGCGGCAGGACAGTCCCTGTCTGTCCCTGCCTTTGTTCTCCCCACTAAGTGGCAGATTGCTTGTGAAATTTCCCACATAACATACCACAGGTTTCAGTTTCTTCTCAGCTGTCCTGCGCCAAAGGAGATGATGATTTGCCCTGCTCATAGATCAACTACGTGCTGGAAAAAGAAGTTACCTGGGATTTTAGTGTCTGATAGCTGCACACGAAAGGCTCTGAAACCCTAGTTGGTTGTGGCTGCATTAATCTTCACAAGTCCTGTGTGATCAATGTGACCATGGCATGTTTTGTGAATTTTTCAGTTGGTTTGCTTAGAATTTTAAGGTATCTATGGATTAAAATGCACTGGGGGATAAATCACATAGTATCAGGAAGAGGTGGAGTGGCTCTGCTGCATAAATAAAATTAAATCCTGAGAAATAAAACCCTCAAAGGAGCTAAACAAGGAAGAGAAAAGGGAAGACAATACCTCATCGTTAAAAGTCAAATATGAGTGTCATACCATTTTTGTTTTTGTTTTTGTTTTTTTGAGACTGGGTCTCCACATGTAGTCCAGGCTGACCTTGAACTCACCTTGTAGCTGAGGGTAGTCTCTACCTCATGGACATCCTCCTGCCTCACCCTCCCAAATAACTGTGTGTCTCTTCTGAGGACTCCTTACATAGTTTGTAGACAATCTTAGTTTATAAAATACTTTCGCATGCATTATCTTACTTGATCCTCTGAATAACCAGTGAGGCAAGCAATCTGAAAGTGAGGAAACTGCATCTCACAATAAAGCTCTTCCTGAAGACCTCCATCCAGCTGCAGGGGACAGAAGGGCACTGAAATACCTCAGGTCTCCAGACATTGTGTCAGGTGCTCTTTCTCTCTCCATGGCTCAGCACTGTGCTGTGTTAAGGCTAATGGACAAATCCAGAGAAGAGGAGATATCAGTCACTGGGGAATAGTTGGGAAAACACAAATTTTCAAAATGAAACAAGCAGAGAATTGTTAAGTGTTGTACTATATGAAACTGGCTATAAATATGATACCAACTAGAGTATTTTAATTAGAATATAAGGTGCTCTAAGTTCTATCCAATGGCTTGAAAAACATGTGTATAGATAATTGAGAATACTGGGCAACTGAATGTTTCTGTGGTTTTCTAGCCAGGCAATTGATGTTTTCCTGTGATGAATTTGGGACCAGGAGGAAAATCAACAAGCACAGTCTTACACAGGGACACAGAGAATTGCTTGAAGATCCAATTCCTGAGTCCTCGAATTCTTGCTGGCCTTTGTGATGACTCAGACTCAGAATTAAAAGCCCATGGGAGCTGGTGCTGGCCCTGGCACATTTGTTAGGTCCTCAAAACCATCAGTGGAGGTCAAAAAAATGCCTTTGATTTACCAAATTTTCAAAGGGAGTAAAGGAGAATACTGCCTTGAGACAGGAAAATGTTCTGTACTCTGAAGACCATGGACTTCAAAGGCCTGCAGGAGCTCTGTGATCACTTTAATTTTCTAATGTCTTAATGTTTAAACCTAACTTTTTCTAAACCCATAGTATTTCTTTCAGAAGCAAAATTCTATTCCAAATAGCTCTTCTGTGTCTTTTCAGCAATGTAGCCCTATGCTCGGACAGCTGCAGGCCAGTCCCTGTCTGTCCCTGCCTTTGTCCTCCCCACTGAGTGGCAGATTGCTTGCAAAGCCCCGCGGAGACTGGCCCAGTGCTTTTACAATGATTGCCCTTGCCCAAGTTCTTTAGCATTACAGTCTCAGATAGTCTTCTTCAAAATGCCATTTGCTAAAGTACCTTGGAAAACAGTAACACATGATACAGATTTTATGTCCACTGAAGGCTCGTACTGCATCTTCTTTGCCTATATCTCTCAAAACCTAGCAGTGTACAGAGTAGAGACTAAACTAATAGGCCAGTATGGATAGACCTACTGTGCAATTCTGATGACTACTGTGGAGGACTCAAACAACAGACACAGGCTGGGCTAGATTTAATGTTCAAGTATCAATACTTGCTACCCAAGAGAAGGACAGGACAGAGGAAAATCAGATTGGAGCTCTGAGTACAAGCATAACATTCTGTGAGGAAAGGTAAATGTTCAACTTGGTGGTACCTGTGACTCTCAACTCTGCTCTCGTATGCTGGGCACTTGAGAGCCAGTGAGAACCTAGGTCTCCCCAGTTCTTAAGGCAAGCACATGACCACTACTGCTGAACTACTCACATCCTCAAAAATGCACCCTTTCAATTACATTTCCAGGAGTGGGAATGGGCTTGTGCTGAGTCACCCCAGCTGTCTTTTCACCCAGTGGTTGTGAACATGGCCTCTGGATCAGCTCTGTCACTTCCTAGTTGTGTAGCCAAAAATTCTCTGTGTCTTTGATTCTCCATATATGAAATGGTGATCATTACATCGGCTGTTCTGTAAAGTTATGATGATTAAATAAGCATAGATATGTGAGGATCCTAGAACATTACCTGGCACATATTCTATAACTGTGTGTAAGTATTGGCTATTTTCATCCGTTCATCTAATATTAATTTTAAAATCTTTGCTCTGGACACTGCTAGGTATTAAAAAGTAAAGCAAGAGCTCAATAAATATTTTGAATATGTGATAGACTGGGGTAAACAGGCGAATATACCAATTATTTCACCCAAATGACAGTGTATAACAGCACGTGACACTTAGTGCCTGCTACCATAGATCAGCTATTTTAACTACTGTTCAGCAGAATGAATGCTGAGACTAAGTATGGGGACTGGAGGTTGAGGGCCAGGAGGTAGAGGTTTTCTTGGGGAAGTCTTCCAAGACCCAGTATCGTTGAGCTTCATTTTGATCAGCGAGTAGGCGTTAGCCAGTAAGAGAAGAGGGCTAAGAGTGTTCCAGGCAGAAGGAACATTGTGTGCAGAGTTAGAGAGGCGTGAAATAGCACAATACATTCAGGGAACTCCAAGTAGGCAAAGTACGAGTGGCGCCCCATTCTCATTGTGACACACAGCTTGCGTTCGGTGAGTGTTTGATATTAGAGGCTGTGAAAGGAAACAAAACAAGTGAGACATTGCTTGTGTCACTGGCCTTCAGCTTTCACTGAACAACCAGGAAGAACTAAGTAGATAGGGAGTTTAATTGTTCTGTGTAGGACTTGCCTGGGTACAAACACTGTGTAGTCTGTACAGAGGTGCTATAGAGTCACTTCCTCTTCATCTTCTGCTAGAGGAATGAAATCCACTTAATTTGTCTTTTTTCCTCCCAAATTAATGCAGATGAATTAAATAAAGTTGCTGGGATCGTGGTTTAGATGAAGATCTTTGGGTAGTAACATATTGCTCTAGTTCAGAGGTCAGCAAACCACGGCCGAGGGCTAAATGCAGTCTGCTGCCTGCTTTTATAACGAAGTTCTGTTGGAACGCAGCCATGCTCATTTGTTTACATGTTGTCTGTGCTACTTTCACACTGCCACAGTAGAGAAGAGCACTTGTGACAGGCGCTGTATGGCGCCAAGCCTGAAATACTCACCAGCTGGCCCTTTGCAGTAAATGTTTGCCAATCCTTATTCTAGATTCGGCTCTTCTAATCCGATAAGTAAAAACCATTACTTAAAACAAGGAATCAGGTTGGTTGAGAAGTTTCACAGCAAATAGTAAATTACTGAATTTTTTAAAAAAATTCACTATCAAGATTATGTACAGAGCTGAGTGTGATAGCACACACCTGTAATCCCAGAGCTCAGGAGATTGAAGCAGGATTGCTGCAAGTTCAAGGCCAGCCTGAGCTACAAAGCAAGACCTTGTTTCAAAACAAACAAGCAATCATTGAGAATGTGTTAGCCATACTTAACACAACACATACGAATAAATGAATAAAAATCGATTCTGAGATTGGCTTTCAAAATTGACTCTGAATTTCCTGGCTGTCAGATACAAACAAGCAAACAAACAAACAAATATTGGATTTGTTCCTCTGCATTGGTTACTCATCTTATAACAAATCATCTTAAACTTTAGTGGCTTACAACAGCTACCATTTAGTGTTTGTTACTGATCATATCTGGATGTCCTCCCAAAGCTTTAAGTGCTCATGGGTGAGGCTTTTGGAAGGTGATTAAATTATTGAGGTTTATACCTGGCTTGTTATTAGGATAGGGTTTGGTTGAAAGAGGTAGGTCATAGAGGTGCTGCCTGGAAAGGGATATCTCTCTCCTCCCGTTCTCTGCTTCCTGTCTGCTATGAGGTGAGCAGCTATCTCTACCCTACCCGGTAACCCTCCTCCATACTGTCTTGCCTTGGAGCTAACCAATATAGAGTGAAATGTGAGCCAAAATAAACCTTTCTCCTTTAATTTTCTCCTTTAATGCTGAGTATTGTTTCTCGGCAACAAAGAAAATAACTAAGACAATATTTCTCATGAATCTGTGAGTCTGTTGTTGTGGGCTGATATTGATGGGCTTGTTCACACATGTGTTGTCAGATTCTGGGTTGTCTTGGGGCTAGCCGGTTCCGGATGGCCTCAGTTGGGACAGTTTATCCCTACTGCACAGGATCTCTCCTTCTCCAGCAGACTGGCCTGGGCTTGCTCAGTTAGCAATGACAGGTTTTAAGAAGGAAAGTGGAAGTGTGCTCTTGAGGCTCAGCCTTGGAATCAGCCCATGGTTACTTCTGATACATTGTCATGGCCAAAACAAGTTAAAAGGCCAGCCGAGATCCAAAGGGCTCCAATTCCCCAGTTCTGGATGAGAGGAGCTGCTAAGTCACATTGTAAGGGGCACGAAGTACCAGGGACAGAACCGGGGCCAAGTTTGAGATCACAAATAATCAATCATAGTCTAAAACAGCATGCATTTTGACCACTAATTTTTAAAAAGTCATCTCTGTGGTCTCAAGTGGAAAGAAATATTCATCATACATGTCTATTCAACCCCACCCACAGATATGAATCATCAGTGTCTTCAACTATGAGGACCATTATCCTCTAGCTAATGGCAGATATAGAGGAGGAGTGGAAAGAAGCCTGCTGGAAATCACATGAGACTGGTACCCCCCCCCCATTCAAATAACACTTGACCACTTTCATTAGGAACCAGATTCAGTTTTAGTGGGTTAAAATGGTAAGGAGAATCAGTATCACAGAAGTCATCAATAACCAAACTAAACAGCCTCTGAGACCAGAGTACACAGAACAACAATATTCTTGCAGGCCATTCCATTCTCTCTCTCTCTCTCTCTCTCTCTCTCTCTCTCTCTCTCTCTCGTCTCTCTCGTCTCTCTCTCTCTCGTTACCAGGTGGTATTAGAATTGGTCACTGATGAGCTTGCTATCTGTGTATATAGACATTATGGAAAAGACAGGCATGGGATAAATTTTTAACTCACTAGTTGTGTAATGATTTTAAAAATTTCTTGCTAAAAAAAACTTACCATTACCAAATGTGCCTCAATAAAGCTAAGTATAAATAGTATCCCAACATCAGAAAGCCTCCTAGGTGGGTCAATAGGACTATCAGTAAGAAAAGATCAAACACAGGTAGCCCTTGCTTCTTAGACTGTGTCAGAATCCCCTGAAAATCTAAAAACAAAACAAAAGCAAACCTCTCAAAGCACTCAGACAAAACCACACAGCTTAGGTTTGAAAATATCTTTCTGGCCCAAAGCCAACTGGGGTTCTTAGCCTTGTCTTTGAGAAGCCAGTGTCTTTATTCTCAGACTTCCATGGAACAGCCACTGTCATACTTCTATCACAGCAGCAGTGGGTAGGGAAGGACATACCAGATTTAGGGAACTACTAGCTGCCAGCTGAGTCGACCAGCTGTGAATGGGAATATGGTTTAATACAGATACAGTGAAAAGAAACAGAGCTGTTCATGTTATTAAAGAAGTGGAAATGAAATCTCCAGGATGTTTGTGGATGACTGGCTTATGGGTGGTTGGGGGAGACAAGGTTGTCTTGGGAAGAACAAAGAAAGCTTCCAAACTTTGACAAAATATGAAGTACTTAGAAAATTAGACTTCGACAAATTTTGATCCTCTTCCTCTCTCTGGATCTCCCACCCAGCTTGGCGATTTCCTAAAAAACAAAAGTCCTGCCAGCCAGCTGCCACTGGAGCGATGTCAAGTAGGATAAGCTGCTGATAGGTGGTAACAATCAAGCATGCCAATTCAGGTGGAGGGAGGGGCGTGTATCCCCTCTCCTGCCCCCTGGCATCACAGCTGGAGGCAGCACAGAGATCTTTTCTTACTGCAGGGGAAGCATGTGTATTCTCTCAAACCTACCTTGGCATTCCTTGATGTCTTAGAGAAGCAGATGACCCCGGCTGAGCAAGACAGTCAGCAGAACAGCAGCCCTTGATGCTGCATTTGGAAATTTCCATTCTTTGCTTGCAGCTCTGAAAAAAAAAAAAATTCTAAAGAGCCCAGTAGCTGGGAAATTTCCACGATGGAAAATTTTAACATATTCTTTAGTTCTAAACTATGCAGGTTTATAGACACTATTTTTTTTTGTAATTTCCTTCTTTAACAATAATTTATGAACATGGTAACACTACAGCTGAGGGAAAAAGAAGGGCAAGATGACCTGGAGGAGAATGGGCATGGTCTGGCTAGTGAGAGGCTGTGCTATATAAATGTATGACCACCCTAGTCATGAAAATGTAGATCTCTGCAAGGCCCACTGGTTGTGAACTCATCCAAAATAGAGATAGTTTGTCCTGGAGCACTGCAGAGAAATCTGTATAAAGACTGGAAGTGGGGTGTAGATGGATACAACTTTGGAACAGAACATAGTGAGTTCTGTTGCTGGAAAAAGCAATCCTAGACAGATCTCTTAAACCACTGCTTCTTAACCCTAAATGTACACAGCAGTCACAGAGAATCCTGTTCAGGTTCAGCAGGTCTTGGGTGGGGCCTGAGGCTGGTTCTAACTGGCTCCTACTTGATGATGCGATGTTATCTGAGGACCACAGTGTTAGAGCAGTAAATGCTGTAGCAGAGGAGTTGGAGGCAGGCTGGTCTGGGGCTGTTTTCTCAGGTTACAAAGCTGAGACGCAAAAGTAGAACTGAATATCTGGAGAAATGTCCCATGCCAGTCTGGGTAAAGCAGACCTTTTGGATGTGGTGATGGACAAAGTTGCCAGAAGTCTGTCTCCTTCAGCACATCCAAGTTGGGGGGTTCTGGACATTAATGCCTTTGCAGAGAAACCTCTGCGTCAAGTTGGTGAAGATGCCTGAGCTGCCCCTGATTCCAGGGTGATTTTGCAGCCCTGAACCATGTGGGTGAAACACTCATGAACCAGCTCCAAATATTGAGGGAAGACTGTTGATGAGAACTCTGCAAAGGGAGGAAGGAGTCCAGAGAATAAATTACTTCCATCCCAGCCAGAATATTTGTTCCACTATTGTTGAGATAATATAAAAAGGGAATTGGAGAATTTTCTATTTTCTTAACAGCTATTTTTGCTTTGCACTACATATATGAGAGAGAGGAGAGGGAGAAGGAGAGAGAGTGAGAGAGATCAAAATCTGTGGCATTGTTATTCTAAGATGTTGCTTCCACTTGAGCTGTAATGTGTCTGCTTTGTACATTTTTAAAGGAACATTTGTCTCATTTTTCATTTTCCATTCAATTGAGTTTTGGATGGGTTATTAGTCTTTACTTTTCAAATGAAAGTACACAGAAGAGCATATGGAAGGAAAGGAGGAGGGAGATTATAATCATGAAAATGTGACTGAAATCAGAACATAACAAGCATGAAATGAATTTGATTACATAATAAAAAGTATTAATGTGTATGTTAAAAGTAAGTAAGTTCTCTGATATGCTAACATCTATATAACACTAAAAATTCTAAGTGGCTTACAGATTGCTTAGGGATTTGAACTGCTAGAGATTGCTTGATGTCTTTTCTTTCAAAAATCTTCCTTTGGGGTCAAGATGTGATTCAGACTTAAGTAAAAGAGATCAAATATATTTTTTCCTTTTCCTAAGTCTTGATGAGCAATTAGTCACCATCTTACAACTTACAACCAATTAAATAGAACTTGTTTGATCCATCGAAAGCCAACTTTTTAAAGGAATGCTTTTTAATGTTGCAGATAAAATTTGCATGGCAGAATTTTCCCATGTAAAGTGGACATGAGTGACATTGTGCAACCATCACTTATTTATCTAGCTCCAAAATATTTTCACTACTCCAAAAAGGAAACCTTGTATCCATTAAAAACTGGTTTCCCAGTTATTCCTCTCTCCATCCTCTGGCTATCAGCAATTTGTCTTTGTGGATTACCTATTCTGAATATCTCATAAAGGTGGATTCCTACAAGATGAGACCCTTTATAAAATCACATCTTAAGACTAAACATTATAGGTATAATAAAATGTAACACTACTGAGTGCTCACTACCTGTGAGGCATGTCATCCTTATAAGTGTATAGATGGGTACCATTATTATATATGAGAGAATTGGGACTTAGCTTGATGAATGGCCTCAGATCTATATGTTATGGTTCAGCAAGAAATAACCTTCCTGGCCAGGTCAACTTACACTAGTGTTTTTTCCAAATGCCACAGCTAGATCTCAGCTTCCTTTCCTTTATCACAGACAGATGGATACTTACTCCTTCTCAAGTTTAACAACTTCACAGAGCTTGATTCAAATACAGAATGTGTTGTTAGTTGCTTACAGCTGCTATTTCTCTAGCAGTGCAGTAAGTCCAGGCAAATTCTTTTGAAGAGCTCATTAAAACTGCTAAAATAAAGTCTTAGAAGCAGGTGCATTCATTAGCTGAAATGCAGATGATTATGCTAATATCGCATTCAGGTGACAAATTTAAAGGCATCAAAATCATGGAGGATAAAGGATTTTCAAAGCTAAAGTTAACTTCTTCCTTTATAAGGCTGTTGTTCTGTTACGCATGTGACGAGCTACAGCTGTCCAATGTGGAGACCTCCAGTGTTATCTCACAAAAATAAAGCTGTTTTTCAGTATCATGTTTCCATCCTTTCTTTGGGAAAAGAAAGGTAAGGGATTGTCTACAAACAGTGCTATATCTGGCACCCCAATGGCTAGATGTTATACTAGGCCTATGGGTAGAGGAAACATATTAAAGATGATTAAAATACATAGTCAGGGCTGAGGATGTAGCTCAGTGGGAAAGCTACATGACAAGTCCTTGGATTTAATCCCCAGCACCAAGGAATAAACAAGCAAAAAACCAAGGAAAATGCACACAATGATTCCCAATTTGAAAAAAATGGAATGGCAATTCTTTCACTTTGTCTTTTTAAAAATCTCAAATAGGAACTGGGCATGGTGGCACACATCTGTAATCCCAGCACTTGGGAGGCTGAGGCAGGTGGATTTCTGTAAGTTCAAGGCCAGCCTGGGCTACATAAGAGAATTCAAGGCCAGCCTTAACTACACAGCAAGACCCTGACTCAAAAATAAATACATAAATAATAAAAATCTCACTTCCGGTGTCATGGCTGCCCTGACCACAACGTAGTGCTGAGAATTTCTGTCCCGGCTAGACTGCTTACTGAGACTTCTACGGCCTACAGGCCTCATGGAAGGACTCTTACAGACCGGAAAGACACACAGTGATCTTTTAATATATTATGGAGGATGTCAAAGATGTAAGATCTAGCCAATTGCTCAGTACACACAATTAAGTTGCCATTTGACTCTTCCGGGAGAACATGGCGGACAGATAACAGCAACTACCGGCGGCTCTCTGAAAGACTCGGCTCAGAAGCCAGGAATGGTGCGGACTAAGGAGACATAAGCAGGTGGAGATATGCTCTGCTGACTCAGGAACGAACTGGGCTGAGAGAAGCCAACTTGGAATGCAGTCCTGGTGCTAAAACAGGAACAGAAAAGACTCGGTGTGGAGGCTGGAACCGCGCCATTGTAAGCCGCGATTTGGGTTTCCCGCCGCGCAGCGGCTGGCTGCCTCTACAGCGGCTCGGCAAGGGGAGAGACGTGCAGAAGCTCTGAGAACGGCAATCTGCGAACGGCAGGGAGGCGTGCACTGACTTATGGTGAGGTGAGTGAGAGAAACTGACACTCTACCACAGTTTGACTCCAGCAGAGGACTTTCTGGGCCCGAGCAGTCCTGCGGGAGCAGGGCGCGGTGGCGACTCCAGCCACACATCCCCCTCTCGGGCGGGATTGGTGAAAAGTGCCTGGCCTGCGTGACGCTGCCGGCGGACCTGGTAGACTGTCCCAACCCAGATCCCAGAGCCTGACGGTGGCCGGGAGGGGAGACGCGTAGGCTGCCTGGTCCGTAACTCCCTGGTGCGCAGCGGTGAGCGGGAACACCTAACTGGCGCAATTCGATCAGGCTGTGGCTGACTGGGAGAGAAGCTGGGCCTCTTATATAAGCTTGCATATATAAGGAACAGAGAAGAAGAGGCAGCATGGGAAGAGGCAGCAACAAGAAAGTCTCCTCGGCCCCCAATTCTGAGAAACAGGCAATAGCAGACACCGCACCAATACACATAAGGCACCATATAGAGAGCCTCATAGACCAATTCAGGAATGAAGTTATCAACGACCTGAAGCTAGAAGTATGCAGAATAGTTAGAGAAATGCTAAGCACCACCCAAGAAAAAACAGGTGATGGAATGGAAGAACAGAAAAAAAGGGGAGAATTGTTTGATGGAGAAAACAGAGAAAGCATAGAATACGTGTAGCAGGTTCAAAGGGACTACCAAGATACTAAGAAGTCTATCGAAGACTGGCATAACAGCTTGAAAGAAACTAAGGACAGACTATCTGAACTGGAGGGCAGACTTGTAATATGGGAGAATGAAATGAAAAACTTCTTAAAAATAACAAAGAAACAAACAGCAATAATACAAAGACAAGAAGATGATAAGAGGATCCATAACTTAAGGATTAAGAACATAAAAGAAGAAGTAGGGATGCAAACAAGTGAACTACAAAAGCTACTCACAGAAATAATCCAGGAGAATTTTCCTAATTTAGCAAAAGGTAAAGATACTCAGATGTATGAGGCATACAGGACCCCAGCTACCTACAACCCAAACAGAGCAACACCCAGGCATATAATAATAAAAATTCCAGAAATTCAATACAAGAACAGAATATTAAAAGCTGTAAGAGACAAGAAACAGACCACTTACAAGGGAACACCCATCAGAATTACAGCAGATTTCTCTGCACAAACCATCAAATCACGAAGAGCGTGGGGGGAAATAATTCAAGCATTGAAAGATAATAATCTCCAGCCAAGATTGAGATATCCTGCACAACTGTCCCTGGAAATTGATGGAAAAACAAGGTGCTTCCAGGATAAAGAGGAACTGGGGGAATTTGCAACCACCAATTCAACTCTACAGAAAGTATTGCAGGATATTCTAAAAAAAGAAAAATACAAAGAATCCAGAAATAGGGGCGGGGAGGCCACAATGAATGGAGCAGAGAACAAAATGAAGAAGACAAACTGACAGCTACTGACAGAAAAAGAGCTTAACAGA